TCAGTTTATTGAAGTTCACCTTTCTAAAATTGAGGGTAACTGTATCTGCGTTCTCTATTCTTCTCTTGCTGTACATGTAAAATATGCAGATTTTAAATCCTCCCTATTTAAAATAGATAGAGAAACTAGACAGGGTGGCTCGTTATCTACTCTTATTAATACTTGCAAGAGAACCATTGGCCAAACTCAGCAGAAAACACCCTGATATCACAGGCCCAATATATAATCTGATCATATTATATTTTTCATCACTAACCCTTTTGTCACTTTTACCAACCTGATTACCTTACTGAAGCAGTTTGGAAAACATTGAGACCTTCTGATCAACCAAATCTAAAGCTCTCAACATTTTGCTTCGTCCACACTCTACAAGAATCCTCCCCCCATCACTGGGTACTTAACCATCTCCAATATCTAGGGATTCACTCCTCCAACTCTTATCAGACTATACACAGCAAGCTAGCTGCCCCTCTTGCATACTCAAAGAGGTCAAAGCGACCTACCTATCAAAACTACTATACTTCTTCTGAGTTTTGCGGATCCTGGTCCCCACACATATCTTCATTTTTCAGTACCAGGTCCTACAATGTATTTGGAAAGAAAACAGACTGAAACTGCCCAAACACATCCTATTCCAATCCAAGATCAGGGGTGGACTAGGAGTCCCACACTTACAGAAATATCATCAGGCCACCCAGTTGGCTACCCTCATCAAGTACCATGCCTCTACTGAAACATCCCTATGGGTAGCTCTTAAAGAAATGAGCTGTGATCCCGTTAGGATAGGCATCCTCCATAAAACAGAACAACCCTGCAGAATCCTATAACACTTTATTCTCTTGAGATATGGGATGTGATTAAATACCTAGGGAGTTGTCTCTCCCCCACTTTCCTCTTATGTCCTTAATCAGGAACCCTTCCTTCTAGCTACTGAGTCTTCTGAAATATTTAATTATTGGTTTATTTCTGGCATTATCCACTCTCATGATCTCTTTGCAACAGATGGCATGAATTGCTTTCATAACCTACAAGAATCCTATAAGCTCCCTATGCAGAACTTTTTTAGATACCTACAGGTGAAGCATTTTGTTGCCTTGAAAATTCAAATTCCCTCTGCCAGGGTGACCCAGACACCTTTTGAACAGAAATGTAGGGATGACCTCCACTCGCCAGGTTTGATCTCTTAGCTTTACAACTTGCTCCTTAACAATTCCTCCCCACCAAGCCACAACTACATGCAGAAATGGGCAGCTGACATAAATACAACCCTCTAACCAGATATGTGGCTCCAAATTGTATTTGCTGTCCATCTGACTCGCTTGTATTGTCCCAGATTGCAGAAGGAGCGGTTTCCATAGCTGTTCTGGCCTAGGTACTTATATGCATACATACTTTCTTCAGTGAAGCTCTGGGGCGCTCGTCGTTTTCCTGATACTCCCCTAGGTTTTCCTAACTACCTGGCTCTGTAGCTGGCATCACTACCTAACTGATGTTATAACCTCTGGAAGTTTGGAAACAGTTGTGGTTAAATTACCTAAAACGTTAAACTGGAAAATACCAATAATATATTGAAATAAATAAATAATACATTTAGATGTTGGAAGGGTTCCTTATTAATGGCTGCCAAAAATGAAGGCAGTGGACGGGTTTATGGTAGAGAAAGATATACACTAGAAAATACGTTTCATTTGCTAAACCCACTGATTTTACTGTTTTCCAAAACGTTTACATTCTAGGCATGTCTCTAGTGATATCTGCCACAGTTACCAGAGTGCCAAACCAAACTTTCAAGCCCCTTAATGGCTGGTTTCATAGCTGATCACATGGCAACTGCATTATCTAAACAGAGGCTAAGATGGCACTGTCTTTGGCTGTAAAGGATAGGAGTAATTTGTTCTGCATTAAAATTACCACACTGATTTAGTGACTGACAGAATGCATTGCTGCATCCTAAGGGCTCATTCACACTGGGTGCATTGAGCTGCATTGATAAATGCTGCTCAACGCATGTACACTGAAAAAACATTGTTCTCTATGTGCTTTGTTGCAGTTATTCAGTTGCTGTTACTGCACCGGCGTAAACTTCCATACATCAAAACATGCCAGGTAAATGTTCTGGTGAAGAACTAATCAAGGTTGGGTTATAAAAAAATATTCAAATTTTCAAATATCATTCAAACATTCATTTAAAAAAAAAAATAAGGAATACAGCAGAACTGCCACTCAGCCTAGATGGGGGCTATACATGAGAACTCAGTGACCAGGTAAGAAGGGCATTAGCGAGAGAGGCAACCATAAGGCAAAAAGTATCTAAGAAGGAGATGCAGAGATCCACATTTTGGATGTGTAAAACTGTTCATAAGTTAACTAGAACCTGACACATCCGGCAAAGCTGCCTTAGGCCTGGTTCACACCTGTGCGTTTTGTAGCGCATTCAAATGCTCTGCAAAACGCTCAAACACCGAAATCGCATTATTTCCTATGGGCATGGTTCACACCTGGGCGTATTACAGGCCGTATGACCGCGCTACAAAACGCCCTACGCCCAAAGAAGTACAGGAGCTTCTTTGGGGCGTTTCCATTGGGATACAACCAAGTAGCCCTCGGAAACGCGCATTTTTTACACGCATATTCGATACGCCTAGGTGTGAACCCAGCCTTAGAGAAGAGTAACAAATCCTATCAAGTTTGCCAAAAAGCTAACATGAAAAACAGTTCTCTGGTCTGTTAAGATTAAAAAATTACTATTATACTCTTAATATACTCTGGCCTTAAAACAAAATGCAACCTGTGGCAAAACCTCAACCAGAAGCATGATGGTGGTAGAATTATGTTGTAGGGATGCTTTGTACTGAAAGAGCCAAGAAAACTGGTCAAGACTGATGGTGAGTTGGATGGAGCCAAATACAGAGCAATTATAGAGGAAAACCTGTTTTAGGGCCAATTCACAGGGTACACAGTAACATACATCACACACATTGGTGCGTTGCAGTGCCATTCCTTCTGAATAGCAGCCTAATACACCTTCCCAGCACATTGCAACACATGATAACGGTGCAGTGCGTTGCTGAAAGCACTGCATGCATGATTTTAGGTCCCTTGTGGTGCATTGGGCAGCCTAAATGCACATTACCTCACAACATTTTACACACTGCGGTGCACTGGGTTGGTGTGAATAGGCCCTTAGTCTACATGTGACCTAAAACATAGGTGAAGCTTCAACCTTCCAGAAGGACAATAACAAGGTTACTTCAGTGTATTTTATGTCCAAGAATCTGAATGTCTTAGAATGGCCCATTTAAAGCTCAGAATCCAACTGAGAATGTGTGGCAAATCATAGAAATTGCAACAGAACAACCTGAGAGGGCTACATCAATTTTGCCAAGAGGAATGTGCAAAAATTGCAGAATCCAGGTGTGAATAGTTGGTAAAGATGCAGCTCAAAAGACTTGCAGATGTAATTAATTCCACCATGTATTGACTAGGGGGGCGGATACCTATGAAACCAATGAGCATCTACTTTTTTAAATTAACTTTCATCAATCTTTCATGTCTCAAAAATATTTTTTCAGTGTACAAAGTATTAATTGATTGGTAAAAATCAATTCCAGTTCATAACAATACAAAAGTCCAAAGTGAACACCAATGCAAAGAACTGGACATTTCTGTGTCCCACTTGTGTGCATGTGGATTTGGAAATCTATGCATGTTTGCTACATGTGCACATGTGTTTGGTTTTATATATTTATTTAGCCTTATCCTTACATTAATTACTGCCACAAGGAGACTGATATGTTTCCAATATGACAATATACAATCATGGTTACAGGTTCTCTAGACACATCAGGGATCTGACTAGGCTCTTGATGTTTCTTTTGTAACCAGCAGATGGAGGTCAGGAGCAAAATGTGCTGGATTTGCAGCATGCCTGGTACCCAGAGGTGATATTGTGATGCTATGGAGACAGAAGGGCACAGGTCTCAGTGCTTCCAGGATTCATCATTGTACATATTAGTAAATACCCCCCACTTCTCTCCATCATAACGCTGCTGTTGCTAAAAAGGTAAGGGCCTCCTGGGAGAGAAAAAGGAGAGCCAATGGGTAGAGCATATTTGAAAACTTGTACAAGTGATCAGGTGACTTTCTAGCTGCTTGAATCACGTCTATATTAACCAGCGTAAGACCCCATTCACACTGAGCGACATGCAAATCGCGCGACTTTGAGCGACATTGAGCGACGAGCGACATTGAGCGACGTTGAGCGACGTGTCGCGCGACATCTTCCTATTGGGCTGTATGCAATCAGGAGCAATATCGCTCAAAATCGCTCTAAAAAAGGGTCATGTAGAAGCGACAAGCTACCAGCGACGAGCTACAAGCGATATTGAGCGATATTGAGCGACATTGAGCGACGAGATGTGAACAGCTACATTGAATTGTATTGGTGAAGCTACATAGAGCGATATAGTGCGGAAATATGAGCGATATCGCTACAAAAATCGCGCGATAAATCGCTCAATGTGAACGGGGCCTAAGGGTCAAGTTATTCTCTATATAGACATGGAAATTAGCATATTCAGGGGACACAGCCTAACTGCTGAATGGCCCCTATATATCCCATTCTTCCATCTTCACCAGCTGGCTGTTATGCCAGCTTAATCCTTATAGGTCCATGTGCATTCCATGTCCAGCACGACCTCTACAGCACTCTGCTCAGCTCACTGCACCCTCAGTTGCCCAAAATACTGGAGTATGAGAGGGAGAATCCATAGCACAGGATCATATGGAAGGAGGCTGCTCTCCTAAGCCAGAGGTACCTCTGAGAATTTTGCAAGAACCGAAGGCCCTCTGCTGTCTTTAGCAAGGTTAACAGAAATTCAGTTAATGCTTTAACTTGTTGTCCGGAACTGTTCTCTGTAAAGTCACATCACACGAATTCAGAACAAAAGGTAAAGAATGCAACCTCTTATTTTTGTCAAATAAACTTTATATCTAAACACATTAAAAGAGAAAACGCAACATTAACACATGTCCATGTAGCAGAACACTGGGTTGGTTTCAAAGTTCAATTCTTGTGGGTTGAGGAAGCCCCCATGAGGGCCAGTTCAGAGCCAAAAAACTGCTTCGATTGCCCTTGGGTCAGAGAATCCTTTATATATGTATCAGTCCAGGTAGTTATATGTTGTGCAAGTAAGCCATCCCTTCAACACAGATGCATCATCGTCTGTAAAATAAAAAGCCACATTACAATATCTGGCAGCTTAATTAAAATATTCAAGCAAGCAAGATGCAAAACATTTGTGATTTCTTGATTGTGAGGCTCCTGATGTGAATACCTCTATAATTTCTCTTACGACCTACCTCCTTCTCTCAAACTTAATCAATAACCTAACCACAAACGTAACTCTTAACATGACCCTTAATCTATAACCTAACCCTGAAAATTAAGCCTTAGGGTCGATTCACATCAGATGTGTTGGGACTGCACTGGAAGCCTTTTCAGGGCAGTAACAATGCAAAGACAAGGGAAATTGCCATGTTTACAGTCAGCCCAGTTCACAACACTGTTATGTAGTGGCATGTACTAAAAAAAAAGGACTGCATGCAGTCCTTTTTTTTAGCGCAGAGTGGTGAGACACTCCGAAATCAGAGCATCAGCACTGTTTCTGCCAGCACACACCAGAAGACCAAAGGAATAGGAGATATGCACTTAATAAAGTTATTGTTCACTTTGCTCAGTGAATAAAGAGAAGCTATGCTCAATTTAAAAAAACAATCACGAGCATTTTTTTGTGTGGTAGTTTCACTTCAATATTTTTATAAAAGTATTGTAAAGACAGAATACAGGATTGTACAAAAGAATAACATTAGAGCGACAATGCTATAAACAATAACAATAAAGGAAGAATAAAAAACAAGAATGAACCATAGAACACAGCATGCAAGGTGATGTTGGGGCACATGCCAACTGCTTCTCCATGGGTAGAAGAATGCAATAATCCAAATACACGTGTGCCAAGCAAACAAAATCAAGCAGCTACCTAAAATGAAACCACAGGCTCATGTGAGGCAATACAGGGAAAAAGGAATTTAAAGAAAATAGAACAGTGAGAAGACAGGAAAGCAGAAAAACAGAGACAGGAAGATACAGGGAGACTGAAGTAAGAGTAGAGACAGCCTCAGGACAGCGGGAAGGCAATCGCGTGCAAGATTTTAAAAAAAGGATTTTGCTTGTGCATGACTGGTCGATTGAAATTAACACAGTTGTTTGCCAAGCTAAGGGAACACTGTGAAAGGGGTAGGTCGATTTACCAAAAATGTTCTACTTTTTTGGTAAATTGACCTACCCCTTTACCTCTAACAAAGGTAACCCTTAAATCTAACCCTAAATTGTAACAATTAAACTAACCTTAACCACTAGCCTAACACGTCCCCTAACAGTAAGCTAACAAATCCTTACAGCCCCTGCACTACTTCCTAACTTAACTAGAATTAGAGACTGACTGACTTAAAGGGATATTGAACATGTATTTCCTCCTGTTAAAATTTAGTCTGTTAGAGAAACAATAACATCAGATTTGTAATAAAATGTCCAACCATAGGCAAGTCTTAGATATACGTATACGTGTGTACATACAGTATGCGATAACTAAGAAGAATTGTATTTGGTGTCTAAATATCTTGCATATAATATGGTTATACGCCTGCTCTTTCTAGAAAAGTATCATATATGTATTACATAACTAAGCTTGATTATTATGATCATTGATGTCTCCATTACTTCATTACAGTATGCTTACAGAGTTAAATTGTACATGTGCTACTTATGTGGAAAAGCACATTCCATCCATGTCTAAGGCACTAGTCCAAGACACAGGTGGAGTCCAGGAAACACATCAGTGGTGAAGTCATCAGCGGAGTAGACATCAGGCGTTGAGCTATCATAGTTGCCCATCAGCTCTTTTACCTATTTTAGCTGCTTGCCTCCCTGCATTCTTCAATTCATTATCTTCACAATACAAACTGTAGTATTCCTTATCTTGTTATCTCTTTGTCAATAAAATGTTATTTTTATATGCTGAAAATGAATCCCAGCTAACCTAAATAATCCTGTTACAAAAGGCATGTCAAACCTTTGGTGCTCATTGCTTCAAACAATTATTGATGACTCCTTTCTCAGGTACATGTTGAAAGTTGCCGCTGTTACTATGATGTTAATTACCAACGTGCTATTATCTTTTATGAAATTAAGTAGGCACATTGTATTATCATTGGCATAAAATGGCCAGAAAACATCAATGATCTTACATCTGCTTTCATGAGCCCCATATAGAGACTACTATAACCAGAAAAAATGAAACAAAAAGCTGCAAATAGATGAAAAAAAGATGAAAGAGGGGCCATGCATATTAATGGAAACTGTAACAATCCTGTGAGCAGTGATGAAAAAGTCACTATCGCACATTGGAAAGTGAAGGGTAAATGTGATCACTCTTGGGTTAACCATACTTGTAATTGAACAGTCACAAAACACTGAAAACAGTATAAAATCTGATCAACAACTGTTTGACATGCAACTTGCAAGCTTTCTTTCAAAACATTTCAATCTATTATTTCACTATGTTTAGCATTGTGCCTTAAGCTGGCCATAAACGAGTAGATTTCCGAATGAAAGATCTTTCTTTACCACCCGATAATGCCATCAGACAATTGACGAATGTTTAATAAAATTCTGTTTTATTTTAACATTAGTTTTTGGAATGGAGTTTCCCGAATGAAAACCACATTCACTGTTAGAATTTAGTTCGTTCAAGAAACATTTTCAATCCTGCTCCTTTGACTTTTTGTCACTATGGTCGAAATCGATGATCTTTTGTACGAAACTTCTTCTGAAAATCTACTAGCGTACGGCCACCCTAATGTGTTTGTGAATCTGTTGCAAAGTTTCTTGTCTAGAGATTCTGCCATTAAAAGCACTTCCTGCCGCAGGCTGACAATGTTAAGTCTGTTTCTTGCAATTAGATGCAGCATTGTTAGCCTGCCATGTGCATTGCTTCAGTTTGCCCTATGGCTGCCTATCAGGTCTGCAGCGGGCATGCATATATACACTTTAAATGTAAATTTCAGAGGAAATGGCGTACTTTTGCTGGCAGCCACTGTATAATTCTAGAAGGTGGGAGCTAGCAGTCTCCAGGTTCCAATTAAACGTCTCCAGCACTTTGTGGCACTCCATACGAGTCTTCAGTCCCAGGCAAAACAGCTGCTCAACCTGCAGTAAAAGCAGAACATGGTATGAGTAAATTTACATAAAATAAAGTTTCACATTGATTGCAGATTATTTTACAGTATTTAGGGGGTTTCAAACCAATGAATCTATGCAAGAATACCTACTATGGAACAAGTTGATCCTCACAGTACAAAAATGGTTAGACATGACAGTACAGCATTGTGACCACAAGGTGGAGTATTTCCTCCAGAGTTTTGCAGTTTATGTTCTGAGTGGCCTAATGCCTGTAGGGAAGGCTGCCATCTAATGGCCGATTCTACGTACGCAAACATGATTACAAAATAAGTATTAATAAACATCAATATTATTCTGAGATCACAAAAGGTTTTCTGAGAGTAAAAAGTCATTATTTACATACTTCTAATACATTACTCCTATCTCACAGAACTAGTATTGTATCACATATGAAATAATATCTGCATTAAATGAAACAAATGGCAATTGGTTTCAATACTCTGCGAGAATTCTGAAGACGTCCTGAACATTTTCCAAGTATCCCATATGTTGACCTCAGGAGATTCCGCCAACCCCCATTATATCCAAATTTCTCCATAAACATAGTCTGATCCATCAACTTAAAGCAAGAGGTAATAGATGGAGCAAAAGATGATTTCCAGTGTTACTTTTTGCTGTATTTTATAGCTGATGAAGTGAACTATTTCAATAAATCTTATATGGGATTGGGGAGCAATGAAAGAGCCATATCCAAGGATCAAGCCGCAGCACATCGCCAGAGATTCAGGAAATCCATTCCACAACTAAAGACCAATATGATTGATAGATTAGACAGGAGCACCACATATGTGCAATGAAACCCTCCACGCCACACACCCTCCAGCACCTGGGATGGGATGGATAGAGAAAACATATTTCTAAAGTGCAAGATGATGTCAAATATAGATAAATAAGACAGCGTGAAAACATACTTTTAGGTATTGGATAGCCTTCTGGACATTCCAGCCATGGTTCTGTAATGCTGCCTGACACTCCTCTGTGGTAACTCCATGAACCATTTCCTGAACCTGTGAAGACGGAAGCAATTTTTATTTTATCAATCAGAAAAAGAATAAAGAGTTGTCAAATCAACAGATGACAAAACATAAAATATTGTTTTTAAATAAAGTACAGGGCTATGTATCCTTCCTAATAGGATTACCATATATTGCATTATTTCTTCACACTTTACAACTGGGCTTAGGGTCCATTCACACCACATCCAGATCAGACGGGTTTCCAGACCAAAATGCATCCCAATGTATCCCTATGCTATTTCTGGCCTCTGTTCCCACCAGTGCAGTCCGTTCCAGACCAGACCAGAAAAATACTGCATGTCTCATTTTGTCCGGTCTGGTATGCACTGGAACCCAGAGAAACGCATCAAAAAAGCATGGAACGCACCTGTAAGACCATTTTAAGCTAAGAAAAAAAGTAAAACATTTCCAAACACGACAAAAACGCGGTAAAAGCGTGGCAAAACTGCAATGCACTGCGTTCCAGATATGGTCCGGAAAATGGTGTGAACCCAGCCTTAGTCATAAATGTACAGAAGTACTTCTGAGAGATTTTGCCCCCTTATTTGGATTTACTTGTTGTATGACCAGAAGACTGGGAGCTGCTGCAGTACCAAGTTATGCTATGACTTAGGGCTAGTTTACACCAGATGCAGTTGTGATGCAGTCCGTTCAGTTTGGCCGCTGCAGCCAAAATACATCACAATGCTTTCCTATGGGATTTCTGGTGCTCTGTTCACATCAGTGCAGTCAGTTCCAATGCAGTCAAATGCACCTGAAATCCCATTTTAAGCAAAAAAAAAAAAACATCAATTGCGGTACAATCGTGGTAAAATTGCAGCAAAACGCATTGCATTGCAGCTGCGCAGACACACACAGTTTTGGTGTAAACTAGCCCTAAGGCCCAGCAGGGCTGAAACATATAAGCGGATATTGTTTTTATGGACTTTACAGTATGAAATAGAGATACATTTGGAGGAGATTCCTTGTGTGCTGCCATCCTGCTCTAAGTTTCAGTACCAAGCACCCTACCTTAGTTTCCCAACATCCAAGAATACAATGTAAGAGGTCAGGCAGTTGAGATTGCAGCAAATATCAGAATTTGAGTGACCTCTGCCTCCCTTATACAAGCTGAAGTGTCAGACCCAGGCACAAGTAAGTAAAGCTAAATAAGGTGGCAAATAAAAATCTTTCATTGGTGATACTACATTATTGTACCGTACTACTTAGGCTAAATATTCAGATTCTTGTATAAGAAGCCCAATCAAGACTGGTTCTCATTAAAATAAATGGTACTTGCATTAAAAGTCTTAAATTGTATGCCAAGCCTAATTTTTTTTTAAAGTTAGTTAAAGGAATAGTAATAATGCTGTGTTTGGTAGAGTCGGGGAACGCTAGAACCCCTTTCATCTCTGTGTTTCTGTCTGTATCCCTGTTTCAGACTGTCCCTCACTTCCTGTCTGGGAAAAGAGGTGCCTCTTTTATAGTATGTCAGGGTAAATCTTTCCGACTAAGCCCCGGATAGCAGTAAAAACCTGACGGAGGTTACAAACCTGCCCCATTCTATTCAAAACTAAAAAAGAAAAAAGAAACAAACACGTTTGGCTGGACATACACCTGGATTTTTTCATCCAATAATACGTTTTTAATGACAGAGTATATTGTATTCTTTATGAAAGAATTGATATGATGATATGCAGATAGCAGTCACAAGGATCTATTAAAAACCCTTTCCTAATCAGAGCATCGAGCATCACAAAACGTAGGACAGTAAGCATTTAGAGAAGAATACATTTAATTGGCAAAGCTTTGTATGTCCATGTACCCTCATAAACAGAGATCGGAAACCTCCTCACTTATGTTGAGTGTAATTGCCAGATAATGGGCATTTACCTTCATGTGAGCACTTATAGTTAATTTTCACAAACAACCATTCATTGCATAGGTCATTCAAAGGCTACACATAGCATGACACGGGACTAACATAACTGGAAACAAACTGGCCAATGGTTAGATCTGCAGTTATTACTTTATTGGTTTTCCTGTAAGAGGACCTTTGGTAACAATATGGCTGACAAAACTGGTAGACCCAGTTACATATTGTAGGACTGGTTGTACAGCTTTAACTCTTTCGCTGCCAAGCCCTGATTTTTCAAATCAGCTGGCCAAGCCATTTTAGAATTTTTTGCATTTTTTTCCTATTGATTTGATTTTCAACTGCTGCGTTGCTAGCGTTTGTAAAAGACCCCCCAAACCATATATTTTCTGAAAATCCACTTAAAAGCCAAGTGTTAAGCCCCATTCCTGGCCAGGCCATTTTTCAGCATTCAGCGCTGCGGTAATTTGACTGACGTTTATTTATGCAACGCTGTCCTGAAATTATTTTTTTTTATAAATTCTGGGGACAGATAGAGTTTTCTTTTGGTGGTATTTAATCACCACTGGGGTTTTTATTTTTTACTATATAACTAAAAAAAAGTACCAAAAATTTTGAGAAAAAACCTGTTTCCCTATAAATTGTTATGAAACGTTTATTATCACCCCAATTTTTTGGTAAAATATAAAAGACGAGGTCACGTCGGGTAAAAAGACGCCAAACATGTCAAGCCTTAAAATTGCGCGCGCCCGCAAAATCCAAAAAAGTGACCACCCTGAAATTGGCCAAAGGCGATGCTTTAAACCAGGGGCGCCCACAAGTTTTCGTCTGGAGATCTACTTTTCAAATGACGAGCTCAATGAGATCTACCAACGAAAAAACACCTGCGTTCAGGGGCGTGGCGGTGCATTGAAGTCAATGGCACCACAGCCAGGCCCCACAGTGCGATCGCCTGCACCCGGAACCAGGCACATTACTACCTGAGTTCCGGTCAAGTGCGATCCGCAAAAATGCTTCAAGCACTATGTGCCTGCGTTCCAGGTGCGGGTGATCACACTGTGGGCGGGGGACATAGCTGCGGTGCCATTGACTTTAATACAACCCCACGTCCCCTCCCGCCCCTGAATGCAGGGAGTTGGCCGGCTTGCATTCCACAGCGTTCTAGAAGCGCCGGGGTCCTGTCCTCCCCCGGTGCTCGTGTGGCCGACGTTGCACATGGGGAGAGGTGTCCCGCCCCTTTGCGTCTGCAGCGTCTGACACATTCAGCCACACGAGCACCGTGAGAGCATAGCCATAGCCAGCTCCATTTGCGCCCGTGGCAAGAAAAAAAAAGTGCCCCCGAACAGGCGTGTGATGTCACCCAGCGCCCTGCCTCCAGGATTTTTTACATTTATTTTTTACTATTTGTTATTTTATTTTTGTTATTTCTTATTTCATTTTTTTTTTTACTGTTGGGGGGGACTTCAGGGAAATATTAGGGGTCTAAACAGCCCCCAGATATATTTATTTTAAAATAGAAAAATAAATTGAGCACACAAAGTCTTCAATCTCTTTTTCTGCAGCCTCTGTTCTAAATGAATGGAAAGCACAGATGCTTCCCATTCATTAAGAAAGTATTTTACTATCAAGCAGTTTCTGAATGAGGAGGAGCCTCTGTACAGAGTGCTACTCTCCATTGAGAAACTCATGAATGAACAGGAAGTGATGTAAATCACATCCTATTCATTCATAATTGGGGACACATAGTAATATGTGTCCCCAGTTATTTACAAACACTGGAGTGATCAGCTGATCGCTCCAGTGTTTGTCCTGCACAGAGGATCGGTACATATCACTGATATGTACCGATCCTCTGCCGCTCGGTCACGCACACAGGGGGGCTGCAACTTCTCCACTGGATCCCCCCTGTTCCGCGGGGATCCAGAGAGGACAGGACATCGCAATCTACCTAATGGGCACCCCTGCTTTAAACCCTTTTACCGCTCATCAGTTTAGTGTTATCAATAATTAATGGCTCTAAAATTATTGCTCTCACTGCGACGTTCGCGGTGATATGTAACATGTGCGGCACAATAAGCGCAATCGTTGTTTTCGCACATAGGCGCACCCAACGCATGTTTGCGTGTGTATTTGGGAGGCTGGGACTTAAAACATTTTTCTGTTTAAAAAAAATAAAAAATGTATGCTTCTTTAATTTTCTTATATGTTTAAGAACATAATTATGTTTTTCTTTAGGGTTAAGAAGCCCCCTATGTGATAGCCAATTTACATGACAGGTCCTCTTTATGGAGACATCAGGGGTCTCCAAGAACCCTAATGTCACCTAGGGACCCCCGGAGAAGCTAATGAAGCACAGATCTGCTTCAGCAGATTCTCACCGGCATCTGTAGCTGGGAATGACAGCTGAATGGAGAAGTGATGTAATATACATCACTTCCTGCATTTGGGGCCTGGAGAGGAGATCAGAGGGAGATCGTGTAGCAACTCCCTTTGATCTCCTGTCACAGAGCAGCTGTGCCGGTCCCGTCCACACCGAGCACAGCAGATCTCAGGACCGGCAACGGCAGTGACAGCTTGTAGCTCGTCGATGTAGCTTGTCGCTCCTACATGACCCTTTTTTCGAGCAATTTTGCTCCTGATTGCATACAGCCCAATAGGAAAAAGTCACTCAATATCGCTCAATATCGCAAGTCGCGCAATATCGCAAGTCGCTGAGTGTGACTGGGACCTTAAGTGTATTTAGATATTTATTCCCTACTTACTGTTAAAAACTAAGTTTTGGCTTTATTTATACTTTAGTCCAGCTGCCTATTGGCCTGGATATATAAGAATTTACAATATTTACAGCAAGCCCAGAGATTATTATTAATAAAATGCGGTGTTAATTATTTATGGCAGAATTCAAATGCTAATAAGTCAAATGAGGTAGCCAGTGCCCATTAGTGACCCTACAGCACAGCTGGCACCAAAATAAAAAATACAGAAGGGAATTTTATCAAAACTGAGGCAGACAAAATCTGGAGCAGCTGTGCATGGCAACCGATCTGCTTCTCTCTTTTATTCTCGAATCTTAGCTGAACACACTGAAGAGAGAAGCTGATTGGTTGCCATGGGCAACTGCTCCAGCTTTTGTCTG